TATGATTACATAACTTCAATTTCAGACTTGTGAATTAAAACACTAATGTACTTAGACAGTCATGTGGATGATAGAAACAAATTTTCGTGGAGAAAATGCCAGAAGTCCATTTCTAAGTTTTTGGGACTCTTCTTCTGTATTTATGAAGCATTATGTAAAATTGTGTGATTGGGTTGAGCTTTGATTTTTCATATTTGCCTTATAGTTTGTTTTTAAAGCACCACCAAGATTATCGTGGGTAATCTTTTGTAAATTTCATGTATAGATTGTATCAGGTCGATTTCATTTTAAATGGATAGCAGCATTACATTTTAACTTAACAAACAGCTTTTAATGTTTTCCTCATTTTGATTTGGATTATCATCACTTACTTGTTTAGCCACAGGAATTAACAATTCACTATCAATTTCCGTTTGTTTTATCTTGTCTTAAAATCAAATATTGAACAGATTTTTACATTGGAAAAAAAAAACTTTTAGTTTAGTTTTCATGTGACATTTTAACATGTTTTCCATTGAATGCGCTTGAATGGATTACTACAGATAGCTTATGTAGCGCATTTAATTTATTTTTGGACAAATGTGCTTTTTGACATAGTTATTATATGCTATGAAAGTCAAGACAGTTTTGTGGTAAGGGTAGGAAACTTGAGGAACTATGAAAGCCATCATTCACAAGATACAAGTGTTTATTAACAGGTGTCTATGCAAGATACTGAGGACACCACTATGTGGAAGAGAACAAACTAGATTCCAGCGGAGGAAGAAGCACTGGAAATGGATAGGAGACATATTGAAAAAAATCACGGTACTGTGTCACAAAACAAGCCTTCACTTGGAATCCTGAGGGATAAAGTAATTGAGAGTGGGGGAAGAAAATAATACATTACATCGGTAATTGGAGACGGACATGAGAGGAATGGACACCAGTGGGATTGGATTGAAAAAGAAGGCTTAACATTTTATAATGAAGTAATTTCCAGTAATAATGTACCATAAAAAAATGCACCATTAAAAAAATCATGAAAACCTCATTATAATTTATTACTTTCTATGATTTACAATTTTATTTTATAAATAAAATAAAAAGACTCGGGAAATGTACAGTTCATGTATCATCAACATCACTGTAATCAAGTTTTTTTTTTCAAGGTATTTTAAATAAGGACTTTAGGATTTTAAAAAATTTGACAAGTGCTTTTGAAAAAAGTCATGTTAAAGTTTGAATTCAAGCTGTCTTAATTTGATTCTGTGAAAAAGATAACTCTTCTAACCTAAATTATAATCTATGAATTTTAAATGTTACAATGAATGTTTAATGCTGGTAAGATTTCTTATTGTCTTAAGAGTAATGCAGTGTTAATGCTTGATGGTGTTTTAAAGGGATTTGCACTAAGAAATGCTTTTTTACAGCAGACTATCGATCGTATAACTGATATGTTCAGTATCCTACTTGTAGTGCCTCCACATACATTTGAGTTCACTCATATTTAATTTTGTTAAGCCTTTTGATCAACTTATTTAACCAAGCCATTTGTATAACAACAACTTATATGTACCATTGGTTTTTACTATTGTCTGGTTTGTATGAGCTGGTACGACTGAACATTGTTTACCGCTTACGCGAATATGCATCCTACTCGCTTTAATATTATTCTCTTAAATATTTCGATGACTGAGACATTTTACAATGTATTTATATGTACATTTTAATCTTATTAATTCATTCCGCAATTCGCCGATTCGCTCACTCGCTAGCTTCCTTGGCCTTCACTGTGTGCTTGTAGCCTGCTGGTCCATTTTGTGGTGTGCCAAAACAAACGTATTCAACACTTCATATTAGCCTCCTGATTTATTAACCATGAGGCACCATTTAGCAACGGTTGTCTGGACGAGTAAATCGCGAAGTCTAAGAACACGTTGGATATCTACCGTCATGAAACTAGGGATACATTGACCATCATATGACAAATAATGTATTGAGAAGAATACCAATGATAATCCTAACCGAGAAGTATTACTAGTCTAAACTGTAATGATCTAATGATTTAAGAAGAATATGTGATATTCATCCGAATCAGTGATTGTTTTCTGGTCAAAACACACAACTTTACATTCAAATAAATTAATATGGTACATATAAGGTTAAGTGGTATTCTTCATTCTTGATAATCCCAACTTTTGTTTTATTAAATATATTTAACAGATTATACTTTTATTCGATTGTGATTTTTTTATTTCATTCCAATAACAAATTGGAAATTTATTTTTTTATGACGAATTTATTGTTTTTCCTGATAAAAATTAGTTGACTGATTGACGTATGTCCCAAAAAAATATAAATATAAATAAATATCTTGAACATCGAACTGATGAACTTTTTTACTTGAAAAATTTATTGAACATTTAATCATTCTTTAAATCATTATATATATACATATCAATAACATATCATACATGAACTCAAACTTACACGTCCGTGTAATAACTTACACGATAGTTTTACCTGATATCTTAATTTCGTGAATTTCCATATTTTCCGTTCTATGAAATTTAACATTTTTTAAAGCAGTTAGTCCCTTATATAAATTGTGGTCGATCAGTGAGATGTAGTTGATCTGAAAAATATTGTATATTGTGTATTTGCTCTATACATATTTTGAACAATCTGGTTACACATATTTACTTGTCAAGGCATTTTATATGAAGATTAATAATGTGACAATTTCCTACCCTTTCTTATTCTTTTCATATTACGTTAATTTTCTCTCTCCTTTATTTACAATTATCACCTTATGTCTATTTGAACATTTTACACATTTGAACTCATCAATCAATCAGTGTTAGACCACCATTAGAAACCTGGAAGCACTGGACGGCCGTTTCGTCCTGGTATGAGACTTTTATTTAATTGACCTTTTATTCATCTTCATATAACACAGGCAGTGTTTTGTATCGTTGTTCGCTGGCGGGGGAGGAGCTATGATAGCACCTCACATACATTTGAGTTTGTTTAATTGGTTCGACAACAGTATCGGCCATTTTTTATATTTGTAATAATTCGTTAACAGTATTGACCATTTTATATGTAAGTGTTCATGCGTGCTTACGTCGCTTATTACATGTCTAGCCTGTTATTGCTTGACTATAAATACTTAATCAATGCTTCAGCGCATTAGAGCTGGCTCATTCACGTTTCTCAATGAGTTTTGCTTTGCTATGCTTGAAGACTTTTCAACCTCTTGTATGTCTGCTTAAGTGAACGCATGACCGCAAAATCGTATTACCATCGTCGCACAAACAGAGTTTACCTAAGTATGATGATATACGGAAACTGAAGGAGAGATTTTAATCAATCAATCAATCGATCAATAGCAACGTATAACTTCGCACATACATCAGTTCAAGTTGCCATACTACATTAGCACAGAGATGTAATTGTCAATTCAAATCACATAGTAGTAGAGATAGTAAAGATATTAGCCTGTAGACCCATCGGGGCTACTGCCGGTCTCAAGCCCGGATAAAGGAGGAGGGTTAAGATATGGGTTGGCGACTCAAACTCGGAAAAAACTAACTTGCCAAAAAAAACTCTAACAAGAACAAAACAATTCGAACCATATAAAATCTGCTCTAGGAGTTAGAAGGTTTTCATTTAGAAGAATTATGACGTCTCATAATGGAAGCCGAGTTCTTTCGGAAGTCATGAGGCTGATGTCCCTTCTGACAACCAGAACCCTTCCACATTGTGGTCAGCCGGGAAGTAACATCCTCTGTCACACCCATAATAGCACACAAGACCAAAATGATCACGATCAAATCCTTTCTTATCTCCTGGAACGAGGAATTTATTTTATCGAATACTCGATTATTCATCCAAACTGGAGTCAAATCTCGGGCCACTAAAGTGACATTAATATATATGAACATAAATAAAGCTAGTAAATGAGTTATGTTTAATATAGACGAGAGTTCGCTCCATAAAACTGTTTAACTGATAGAATCATTAGAAACCTAGGAAGTAATTGTTAGATGTTCGACCCTAGGATTCGTGACTAGTTCACTCAAACGATGCCAGCGAGTATCGCATTCCGAACATCTAGCCTATATTTAAACGAATAATTCACTTTTATAATTTTATTCACTTAATGACGTTACCATTGATTTTTTGAAGTGAATTTTAACGGGATACTATTAATAAGTTTTATGTTATAATAAAGTGGCTGGCTATTCATGACTCTATGATTTAAAAACTAATTGTTTAACTGAGATTGGCTTGTGCTACAGATTATCTTTACCGAAGATATTGCTCATAACAATCACAGACTTGATTTGCAATCAGAAGTTTGAAGCTAAGTGGTACAAATTTTGTGAGTAAACAGTGTCTTTTTTAAATACAGTGTTATTCCATCTGGTCCAGACGTCTTTGTACAGCACACTTGAATCGTAGAGTTGATATTCACTCCGTAATTCAAACCCAGTACCGTTTGTTTTAGACGCTAATATACAACAACCATGATTGATTAAATTTCAATCAAAAATATCCACGATCAAATAATCCAATTCATTTAAAAATTTAATTATATCATAATATCCGATGATTTAGATAAGTGACATTCATATTTTCACCTGAGTCGATAATGAATGAAGTTTCACATTCACACAAAGAATAGACGGACAATTTAGCGTTTTCAACTAGAGTTACTGTTAGACCACCATTAGAAAACCTGCAAACACTGAAAGACAGTCCGCTTGTCCTGGTATGGGACTCATCAGCAGTGGGCACCCACAACTCCGGCACCCCGCAGGATTCGAACCCGTGACCTTCGGTCTTGCGCGCGAGCACCCAACTTCTGGACCACTGGGTTGGCATTCAGCGGTGTTAATGTTTCATAAATTAATGCCCAATTGTAATATGTAAGCACATTTACAACATTTGTGTTTCTTCATTATTTTTTTCCTTCTTTCTTTCTTTCTACTAGATTTTATTGGGATCTAATCATGTTACTATTGTTAATTGCAAATCTTATCATTCTACCGGTGGCAATTTCTTTCTTTAATGATGATTTAAGCATACATTGGATTGTATTCAATTGTGTATCAGATACAGTATTTCTTATTGATATTGGAGTGAATTTTCGTACAGGTATGTTTACATTTACATTTCTTGTTTATTTTTCTTACAATTTTATATTTAACTAATTGGTATCATTGTTAAACAGATGAAACTTGATTTCTAAATGCTATTTGATACGAAGCTTTTGTTAGGACAGTACTGTTCGTATACATAGTTTACGATATTCAATGAATCTTTATTTTTCAAATTAATAGATTAGTTAAATTACAGTTATCATCATTAGGAAATGTCTGTGAAATTCCATGAATTCAATCTATCGAGCAATATATATATATATATATATATATATATATATATATATATTTTCAAAATATGCCGCCCAACGCTTGCTACTTTTCAACTAGTTTAAACAAAACTAATGAACCCATTTTAGTATAAACAATATAGGTCAAGTGTTAAATCATTTCAGATTGTAAATTCTAACTAATCCTAAGGTCATATTTTTTTAAGCGGAAAGAAAATACTCTATTTATTTAAATATTATTATACGTTTGTCTTCTGTTCCAATTGGTTGTTCAACTTCACAAGTTGAAATATCAATGTTCAATTTTTAATGGATTCCGATTGTCCTCATTGATAAGTATCAATCAAACTAGGTTAACATGGATATTCGATATTTCTATTTGTTTTCATTCATGTCAATCTGTAAAATAAATCGCTTCCTAATTATAAAATTATATTTTTATTTAGTTAGATTAGGTAGTTGTTATAAATGCGTAGAAAAATTGGTTTGATAGTAAAAATACGAAAAAAACAAACATATTCAATGGATTTTTTTTTATTTAGTAACATGATTTCTGTGAAAATTTTGTCGATAAATTTATAAACTAGAATAGGAATTCTTAGTTAAGATGCTATTGACAATTTACTACTGGTGATTTAATTTACTGGAATGTGAATTGATCATTGTTTGATCAGCATTAGAAACTGGGAAGCACTGGATGGTTGTTTCGTTCCGGTATGAGACTCATCAGCAGTTACGTATCTACAACTCCTGCTACTCACAGGATTAGAACCCAGGACCTTCGGTCTTGCACGCAAACACTTAATTTTAGACCACTAAGCTGGTATTCAACGGTGTTAATGTCTAACTCTGATCAATTTAGAGATTTTGTGTGACCTCAACAGTTTGTCTTAGGTGGTTATTGCCTATACCAGACACCGTGATTCACATTTCAGTGATAGACAACAATCTCCACTACTCTTTGATATAAAATTGTAGAATGTGCTGACTAGTGACCAGCTCCAGGGAGAAATTCTCGGAGTTCTAGTAAGAAGACGTGACAAGCGGAGTTCAACCCTGTCGGATGTAGGCAGTAACACTATCAAAGACAAATGGGTGAGTTCGCGCAAAATGATCAGAGTTAGACATTAACACCCTTAGAATACCGGCTTAGTGGTCCAGAGGTTAAGGGTTTGCGTGCAAGACCGAGGGCCCTGTGTTCGAATCCTTTGAGTACTGCTGATGAGTCTCATACGGGAACGAAACAACTATTCAGTGCTTCCCAGTCTCTAATACTGGTCTAACAATGACTAATTCATGATTTCAGTATGAAACAACAAACCCTGTAACTCTATAATGAAAAAGGTAATTAAAATTGATACAGTATGTTACAGAAAGAAGCATTAATAGTGAGAAAATATATCGCAACGTGAAACACAGAAAAATTGTTGTATAGCACATCCTCCAATATCGTATCGTATCGTTGACGTCATCTGCTTTACTAGATTCATATTTTTTTTTCTATTTGATATCGACCATTGATAATGAATCCTACACACAGTTTCCTCTTCCTCTTCTGTTACGTTACGTTACGTTACGTTTCGTTTCGTTTCGTTTCGTCTTTTTTTTCACATTCCTATTAACTTGTATTGCTTATTTTTCTGTTTGTAAAGCTTTATTTTTCGAGTTTTTGCAGTTTATTTTTCACCGTTTGTTATTTTATTAATTTTTTTTCCGGATTGTTTTTAATAAAAATAATCTTACAATGAGTTTGGGGCAAAAAAAAGAAACACAATGAAACATTTTTTTCGAGTGTTTTAGAGTTTTTTGTTTTCCTTATAAAAAGAAAAAGAACATCACACAAAATAACAGTGGCGAGTAAAAAAAACTGTATACACTCGAACTGTCAGTCAATCAGTTATTCAATTTACTCGTGAGAGAAATAAGCCTTGAACAAAATACAATGAAACTACTCAAAGTATATTTATATGGGCATGCATATATAGATATTTCTGTATATATATATATAGTTGTATATGAATATTTATAAAAGATGTAAGTATAAGATAAAAATGATTGACAGACAAGTTGTGTTAAAGAAGAATTCAACTGGAACAATATCAATGTGCAGAATTGATTGACAAAGTTCTCTTACTGATTCATAAATAAATAGATCGTTAATTTTATCTCGACTCGTATAAAATGGAACACAGTAATTTTAAATAATATTTTTATTGGTTAAGATATAATTTGAGAAGGTGCTTTGCTATCATATATTGTTTAATAATTTGTCTTTTGTCATAAAGTTGTATTAGGAATCTTGATGGAATGGGATGTTAGATCCCCAGAACTCACTTGAAAAATGTCCTACTTTTGTGATTTATTCGTGAAATTTTTGAATTTTCATTTTTTTCTGGCGCCAACGACGCCCAGTTGACCTTGAGATTAAATTTCCCACTCGGAAAATTCTTGACTGTTATTAGTTGATGGATTATTTTAGTAGTGGTGTTTAAATAACATTTGCGTGACCATTCTCACTAACTTGGTCATTATTCTAACCTTAATACTTATTTAATTGTTAAATTCAAAAGACTATAGTGATACATATTATCATAACATAGTTGCAAGTTGGTTGGTTCAGCAAACGTAGATGTGAGCTCAAGCCTCGGTGGATGTTTATGAACATATTAAATTAGTCATAACTAATTTACGAAGAGAAATTTTTAACAGTTAAAATAAAGTTCCTCAAATGCTTATTTTAAATACATGGCAAACATTTCCACATGGTTTTATTTTAAACTGTTCATGTATTGAGAACATTCAATTTTCATTTTAATTTTTATTAAACCTGAGTTCATTCATTTATTAGTGAACTAGTGATAGAGATATTCTTCCAGCATATAAGGTTTAAACTTTTATATTGTCTTCAAGTGTACGTTTTTAGTTACGTAATTAATTCGATAATCTTTGAAATTGTTTGATGATGTATTTTAGTGACTGATAATTGGAGTCTGCTTGTCATCTTTACGCACACAGTATATTTTTCTTCAAAAAATTATGAAATTTTATAATTTGATGTTGGAAATGTAAAAATATTTTCATTGCAGAGGTTTGGAGATTGTTGAGTTCCATTGAAATACTGAATCGATAATTGTTAGACTACCATTCGAAACCTAGAAGGACTGGATGGTAGTCCTACTATGAGACTCATCAGTAGTGTGCATTCACGACCCTCGCTCATGGGTGTAAAATCCAGGACCTTTATTCTCGTGAGGGAATGCTTAACTTCTAGACTATATAGCTGTCATCCAACAATGTTAATCTGTAAATCTAATTAATCCAAGGTCTGTACAAACTCATCTATTGCCTTCGGTATGGAACTGCCTACACCCAACTCCACTGACCAATGCTTCTCGATAAAACTAGCTTCGTGATGAAACTCTCGGAGTCCTGATGAATCCGCACGCAAGGCCGAAGGTCCTGTGTTCGACTCGTGCAGTTGGGTCAAGGATAAGCGCTACTGATGAACAGCAAACTAGGACGGAAGGATCGTTCAGTGATTCCAGGTCTCCAATAGCGGTATATTAATGATTTCGATAAAAATATTCATTCGCTGACTTTATGTATAACTAATAACTTTAAATCATTCAATGTTGTTAAAAAATGTAAAGAATGTTATGTGTATAGATTTTAAGCTATACTATGTTAACTAATAATTCAATACTGCGCACGAAAGCGAACTTTCGTGTGTCAATAACGTCCGATGCTTAAAATAAGACAAAATCTAACGTGTTTCTTGCACATTTCGTCGTGGAAATACATCAGTTTTCGTATTGTAAATAGAACATTTCAAGCACTAGGTTGTTCAATATTAAACCATGAGTATGCTTAAACCGAACACAGCCGTGCCGGTTTTAAATCTAATGGGAAAATGTCACATCGAACCACTGGTCAAACATATTAACACTTTGATGATTCGTATTTCTCAGATGACTAAAGGTAATGAAAAAATTACGAGAAACGCTTTTAAAACAAAAACATTGTTTTGTCAACACTTTTATTTTTCCGTGTATAGAGGAACTAAATTTTTAGATTTTAGAATTTAGTTTTCCTACAAGATAGCTGTGTTATGACACATTCAGATCATCAATCAATTATTGTTAGACCACCTTTAGAATCCTGGAAGCACTGAAAGACGGCATGAGACTCATCAAGGGTCCAGAGAGTGGTCAGGCGTCCAAGCGAGAGACCGAAGGTCCTGGGTTCGAATCCTGCGAGGTACAGGAGTCGTGGATGCCCACTGCCACCGATGAGTCAGTCCCATAACAGGACGAGGGTGCCGTATTTCAGTGCTTCCCAGTTCCAAATGGTGGTCTAACAATGACTGGCTGATGATTTCAATGTGTAAAACCACTAATCTTTACAACTCTAATTGAAAGAATTGTGTTATTACTTAACCACGTCTAGTTCTTGATGACGTAATCTTTTTTTTAAAAATAACAATCTAATTCACTAATTTCATTATGTGTTTGTTATTTCATTACCCATCAAAAACAAACAAACAAACTAGGAATCATTAAAAATAATTTCGCTGATGAAATTATGCTTAATCCGAAAGAAATTGCACGACAATATTTGAAAACATGGTTTCTTCTAGATTTATTAAGCTCATTACCATTGGATTATATATATCTTATTTTACATGATAATGAAAATTTCACACAATTTGTACACGCTGGTAAGTGTCGCTGATTTTTTTATTCTTTACATGATATTATTGTGTGTTGTTATTACGATTACTAATATTAACAGAGGTTGTAGGATCCAAACTGAGGTTTGGGTTGAGGAATAACTGTCTAGATAGTTTAGATACTCACCTTGCCCAGTTTAAAGACAAAACAAGTGATTTGGGTAAATAACGGTTTGAATATTCATCATAAATATAAATGTACATGATTACCTGAACAATATTACCACTTCGTTATCCCACCAATAACTGTTCAATTAATCAAATAAATGATATTCTATCCTTCCTGGATAGATCAGATTCGTTCGAAAGATAATAATTGGTTGTTTATAGCACAAAGTGTTTCCTATTCCAAAAGGGTGCTTCAATTTACAATCAAAATGCACAATTTCAGTCAATACAAGCAATCCAAATCGAAAGAGGAAGAAATCAGTATGTCTGTCGCCATGACTAAGTATCAGCTTAAACAACATAAATGCAGTTTAGAAAGAAACATAGAAACTCAATAAAGGCAGAAGAAATATAAACTATATTAAGACACAAATATTATCATTTCAAAATGGAATCGAACAGACTGAGAAAATGTACAACTGAAGGAATCAATAAGGACAAATTACAAATGTGTACGTGGTGGAATTTTCACAAACGAAACCTTCAAAAATGGATCTTACAGAGATTGATGATGGCTAGCAATGGAAGAATCCATGTCTGACGGTCCGCCCAACTAGGGACATGTCAGAGTCGATGTTAACCCTGGGGAATCGAACCTGGTACCTTACACTTCAAATTTCATAGCATTATCCATTTAGTTACTGAGTTCAGATAGTTAGTCACTCGTTGTGTTTTTGTTCAACCAAACCAGTCTTGTAACTAATATATGTCACTAATATATATATTAAAACTGTGGTGGTGTTTCGTTCTCTGAGCTGGATATTTTGGTTGTGAAGCTTTCATTGTTCTTTTGAACAACATCAGCTGCAGCACAAACTTCAGATGGAAGAAGTGAAGTATTCGAATTTCTCCACGTTTGACCTGTAGCTTGTTCTGCTAATCTCGATCTTGATTGGTTGCTGTTGACCTTAAACCTGTCGTTGTTTTCACTCTTATTTTGATTGTATCACCCTTTTGAACTGTTTTTTTGATCCTATGATTTTATATGATTTCCAATTTACGAATATCAATAAGATAACTTGAAAATAGTTTGTAACTTCAGATGGTAAACTGTAGTAAACAAGGCAGTATTCGACAACTATTTCTTTTCAATATGAGACACTTGCAAATTATACATCAAACATGTCACCAATGATAAAACCTTACATTGCCAAGACTTAAAGTCAATTATCTCACTTTCGAGAAAAGTTAACTTAGTTGTAATGAGAATCCATAAGCCGTGAATCATGTATCACAAGTGATCATGGACAGTTATTGAGTCAAATCACAAACTGACTGTTATTTTTAGAACCGCTGGACGTCAGCTGACTGATCTGAAGATGGAAAGTTTACTATGTGCTCAAATTATTTCAAATCTTTATTCTTTATGAGGTTCTGGTTGTACATTGTTGTACAAGACACATCTATCCAGTATTATGTGATTTTCATAAACAATCTAGTTTGTACCAGTGGAAAATTGGAATGATCTTCAAATGAACATTCTTCATATGAGTGATATTGTAGTCATAGTCACCCAATGACCACTTAAAAGCGGTTATTCATTTGGATTGTCAATTTATGAATGACTCGGGATTGGTGATAGTATTTTCAATTATGATAGTAGTAATAATAGCAGTAATAGTAGTAGTAATACTGATAATAGTAATAGTGGTAGTGACAGCAGCAGTAATAATAGTAGTAGTAATAGTAATAGTAGTAGTGGTAGTAATAATAGTAATAGTAGTAGTAGGGGTAGTAATTATAGAAGTAATAGTAATAATAATATTAGTGGTAATGGTAGTAATAGTGTAGTGAACGAGAACGCAGGTGGGGCAACCAGATTGTAATTAACGAGAATTACAGAGTTACTCAGTAAAATCGGAAAACCATATCGTAAATCGTTCATTTGCAAAAAAACAGTCCGTCATAGAGAACTGGACTGTTCCTGTTGCAAAACATCAATCCATTGTCACTATTCATGCGTTTCATACAAATTCCATTGTGTTCTAACTCTTCCTTTCTTGATCTTCTCCCATCTTCTGCTGCCAGACATTACGTTGACACCCACGTCATATACTACTTATAAGTAGCTCGCACCACAATAGCAGTAGTAGTAGTAACAATAGTAATAGTAGTAGTAATAATAATAATAGTAATGATTGTTATGATACATTTCTAATAAATCAAATCTTTGCATTGTGAGAATCAGAATCGCTCATCTAAACAAACAGCACTGATTTCTAAAGAACAAAACATATTGTTCATATTGACTGGAAAATTTTGTTTCAGTGAAATATTAATAACAAATTACTAGTTGTCGCATTTAATAGTACTTTTTTTCACCAAGTGGCTTTGATTACTCCTTATTTTGTTAACTTATTATTAAGTCCTGAATAGGATGAACTGAGCATCCTGAATTCCGCAAACTAGCCCCTACCTACCTACCTGTTGCAAAAATGTTGGTATTCTAAAGAGCAATATTGAGGCGATTCGTACAGAATGCACATATACCAGAACGAGACTGATTAATTGTTAGTCGAATGAACGAATAGAAAGATTCAAACAATCACTATCGATGAATAATTTGTGATATTGTTTTTTTTCAATGCAAATTTATAAAATTGTATTAAATTGTTATAATACTGCTATGAAGCTATTCGAAATCCCACTGATTGACCAAATTCAGATACGACCCCGCTTTGAACAAGTCACGACGGTGACCATAAACCAAAGTGTTACCTAATATTAAGTCATCACCTGACGTCATTTTTGATCAATTAATTGACTCGTGATTTCAAACGTGTAACTTAACAATCTTCATAACCCCGAAATGCAATCACCTGTGCTCACTAGTGATTAGCTGCTTGAGGAATCTTCTCCAAGTTGTGACCAGTGAAGTCCAACCTGTTCGGGTGTCGACAGTAACTACGAAGATAGTGTATGAGGTTGCGTGAAGTGATCGAAGTTTACGTAATTATCACCAGTCAACCAATATATTAGGCAGTCTACTAGCCAAAACGTACACACTTTATCATAAAACATCCATTTGCGAAACATGAGTATTCTCGGCTGTCCTCTTCTACAGGTCTTCTGTTCTTCGAAGAGTTTTGATCGTGCCATGCATCCACATTCAACACTGTTCACTCTGTCCTTAACCTCAGGATGACACTATGCTGCTTATCCACTGTATACTACTTAGTAGCTTTGTGTTTGAGTAGTACACAAGACAATGTCATCTAATCAATACGTTGAGTAAAAAAACTTATCAACAGGATTTGCACAGATAACCTTACCATAAAGCGTTATTTAATATGTTCATTCATAAATTATTCGTTTGTTTTGAAAAAATATTCGTGGCTTTTATAAATGTACTTTTCTTTTGTTTTTCCTACATTAAATATAGGCCGTGCACTACGATTTCTACGATTTGTAAAACTTTTAAGTTTGATACGACTTTTAAGATTATCTCGACTGGTTCGTTATGTCAGTGAATGGGAAGAAGTAAGTGATTTATTGGGTCAATTATATTTTCATTAGAATATCACAAATTATTGTATTGTTCATTCATGTATTTATGTATCTTACATGATAGTGTATTTGTATTAGATGATGAAATTGGATTGAGTGAGTGATTGATCGATGAGAGTTCCTTCTTTTTCTTACCTATTTCGTAGTTTTTAGTCCCTGTCAACTTCGCACATCTTCAAAATAAAGCAAATAAAATGATTTTTGACTTGATTTCCTATCCGAAAATCCATAAAAACGGAGTTAGAATCAGTCTGTAATATCTAAAAGACCATTACTTACTTACTTACTTACTAACTAACTAACTAACTAACTAACTAACTAACTAACTAACTAACTAACTAACTAACTAACTAACTAACTAACTAACTAACTAACTAACTAACTAACTAACTAACTAACTAACTAACTAACTAACTAACTAACTAACTAACTTACTTACTTACTTACTTACTTACTTACTTACTTACTTACTTGCTTACTTACTTACTTACTTACTTACTTACTTACTTACTTACTTACTTACTTGCTTACTTACTTACTTACTTACTTGCTTACTTACTTACTTACTTACTTACTTGCTTACTTACTTACTTACTTACTTACTTACTTACTTACTTACTTACTTACTTGCTTACTTACTTACTTACTTACTTACTTACTTACTTACTTACTTACTTACTTGCTTACTTACTTACTTACTTACTTACTTACTTACTTACTTACTTACTTACTTACTTACTTACTTACTTACTTACTTACTTACTTACTTACTTACTTACTTACTTACTTACTTACTGATATGTTCGCCAGTTGATATGCTTGAATGCCAGTACGAATTCACCCTACTCGGTAAACTGAACGAAGGTCAACGATAAAACGATACGATAGGCTATTTTAATTGGTTTTCCCAGGCCTTTCTAACAAAAGCAAGAAGTCTTGATATGGCGTAGAAAATATATTCTGCAAGCACCCAGAAAATACGAGGTTGCTAAGCACACAAATCAAGCTCATTTATACAATGATAGAAACACCTTTGGGAGATTTACAAAATGCTGTACTAAAATAATACATCAACCAATGACAGTCAAAGATTTTCGGAGTGAGAAATGTAAGCGATAGGTCAACTAAGCGGATAAATTACAAAATTAGGACCTTTTGGAAGTGCGTTCTGGGGATCTAACGTCCCCAGCACTTACTTAATTACTTACTTCTGTCACTCCCCCCCAATCGAGCATAAGCTGCCGATCAGCTGGAAATCTGTAGATCAGGTGGATGATTAGGGCAGAGTATAGTTCTCTGAGTTGACGTATCACTTAATAACTTAAGTAGTAATATCAAAGGGACAAAGGGAAAAAAAGAAACTAATGTTCTACAAACAATTAAATAGGATTGAGAATATTATTTCAAAATGCCTTTCAAATTATTTTATAATCAATAACCGTCATCGACTATGACATAACCAGTGTGTGTTCTGTTATAGTTCATTGATAACTGTGCTTGTTAGTATAGAGATATTTGTGGAGATTTCTGAATTCTCAGACTGATTTCGCTTAGGCAACCTTTGAAAACTAAAGAAAACTGGAAGGCTGTTTTTATTCTAGTTTAAAAATCCTCATCAGCACGTATCCAAGATTCTATCAGAGATCTAACCTAAAACGTCTAGTCATCGATGCACACTGTTGAAGAGATCCATTCTAGGATGTCTTTCCAGTATTTCCTAGTTTTAACTAGTTGTTTAGCTTATATCAACCAGTGGTGTGAATTGTTAAAACTAGACTTATGTTTGATAGGAAGTTGTATATTCTTGCTCAACTGTGCAATAATATTTAAGACTTTCAATGTTATTTTTGCCAGAACATCCTAGAAACATATCACGAACTTGCATTTTTAATCCGGTAAAAATTAGATTGATATAGATTTACATAACTTTAGAAATGAAAAAAACTTATTACATCGTATCCGGAGATAAATAAAATTCAAGTTAGAAATTTAAAGTTTATTATTCGTAACTAAAACGAAATTACACCATTATTAGTAAGGGTTGTTGTATATGCATTTTGTGCAGATCGCCCAGGGTGTAGTTATTTCTTCACATGAATACTAGAACAGTTGGATTGAGGCTAGTTGTGGAATTCAAGAATGATATTTCGTTTTTCGTTTCGAATCGATCAACTGGATATATACGTTATCCTAGTGATAATAATAGGATCTAAACTAGATCTCAATACTTTTGGTTTTAAAGTTTAACTCATATTATTGATCTAGGTAGTGATTTCAGAAAGTCTCTAACTAACACTGGAATGCAAACAGTATACATGCATTGAATAGGATGAAAACGTGCATTCTATAATTCATTGTTGGCTATAATTCACCAGTCATATAAAAGAAAATTGATCAGTGTTTATAACAGTTAAGTAATAATAATACGATGCGACTGTAAATCAGTGATAAAAACTTTAAGCAATATTGAATTGACCTTGAGAAAATTCATCTACTTACCAGGGTCAGAAAAGGATTAGGATTTAGAGTGGGAATTACTAGTTTAGAATTGAAGTAAGGCTTTTCATAAAGAATTGACCTCAGCTATACTGTCTAAATACTATTTAACCGTACGAATAAATTAATTTCGTTCAGAAGTCAAGACTTGCTATCTTGGTTCGTCCATAAATTATAGCCTCGCCTATGATAGAAATAAATATTTTAACAAAGATTCTTGTTAATTAAATTTCATTGACTTAATTACATAAGATAGAAAAAGTTTACGTCACTATATATAAATCATACATTAGAGTATTATGGAGATGACAGTTTTACTTTGAAATCATGAATGAATCATTGTTAAACTACCATTAAAAACCTGGGGCGTTTTCGGTCCTGGTTTTGAACTCATCAGCTGTGGTTTCTGAAAATCAAACGGCATTTTTTATGGCTGTTCAGTAGGAGAAGGCTTTGGTTACAGTAGCAGCATACACATCTCTTGTTACAAGCTTGAACATGCTCAACAGAATTGTCGCGTCAAAATATTATTAAATTTCTTTCAATCAACCAAAGAATACATCAACAATTACAATTTTCCTAAAAATTGTCAGTAAATAAATCCAAAACATTGGTTCCCTTTGATAAATTTGAACAGAGAAATGAGAAGACATATTTTGTGAGATAGTACCATTTCGTGCTTTCTCGTCAGCCCCATACAATACAAACGTTCTGTTGTCAAAACTTTATTCGCTCGAGCAAGTAGAATCTGCACTGCTGATACATTGAACGACGAATTCAAGCTTATTACTGACAAACTTAAATCAAACGGATATCCCGAAACGTTTATTGGTCATCAGAACACAACTAAGACGAAGTTGATAGCAAATGATGTGCCCAGGAAACCAGTGTACCTACAGTTACCTTTCAAGAGTGATCATTGCATGAAAATTACAACCAAACAGACTGCAGCTGCAATAAAAAAGACCTTCAATGCAGCTTATCTGAGGCTTATCACAACAACCCAATCGATCTCAGTTGCCCCAATCAAGTCTCCAAGACCGATTCAGTCCAAATCCCACTGTATTTACCAATTCACATGTAACTGCGGAGAAAGTTACTTAGGGAGGACAGATTGCCGATTGGAAGACAGGATAGGGGAACATATTCCAAAATGGCTAATCAAATCCATGATTCATCAACCTAGCCCGTCATCTCAAAATCGATCAAGAAACCCAACCTCGTCCAATGCAAAACATCTAATGATGAGTGGTGATCAAATTGACCCAAAATCAGCCTTTAAAGTTATGACATGTCATCAAAACCCATACATACGGAAACTACTCGAAGCTATCTTGATTGGTCGTAAAAGTCCAACTTTATGTGTTCAAAAACAACTGTATGTTGACCGTTGTTTACCATGGTTCTAGTGAGTGAATGTCATGCTAAGTAAGAAATTTTGACCTTATCTTCAAAACTGTATTTACACAAATAACATGTTGCTTGTATGTAACTGACGAGAAAGCACGAAATGGTACTATCTCACAAAATATGTCTTCTCATTTCTCTGTTCAAAAGTAAATAAATCGGCAAAAGAATGACTATTTACTCAAAGAACAATTTCAGCCAATCAAATAGCTCCCTTTAAAATTATTCTGATTGGACGATATTGTTCATCACAATTGAACATTGAACTGATTCATATTCACAAAATTGATTTGTTTTTTTTTTAATGTTTTAAAGGAACATTGAATTTGTAATCAAACGCTTCATTCAGTAATTTAATTCTTTCTTGATTTATTTATTTATTTTCGTGTAAATGAAGACAAAAACAACAACAATCAAATTGATAATTAATAAATCAAATTGTTTACTATGGTAACAACACAATTGATTAATAATTGAAATAGACAGACTTGAATGAAACATAAATAGCACTAATAATAATCATAATCATAACCCATTCAAGTGTAACAAATCATTTCTAAGTGAATTTTCCTTATAAACTTTCTTTTCACCTTACATCATCATTCTCAACACGCTCTCACTTTCTTTGTTGCTTGCTTCTCCCCGCAAATTTTTCACGTTATATGCTATTATGCTCTAATAAACACACATTAGTGTATCATGAAACGTAATGCGATTCAATGCGATTCTTATGTTTTTATAGCAAGAATACAAATGATCAAAAGATTGGTGTGTGTATGTGCGTGGGTGCGCACGCGCAGTTGTTGCATAGTTGTTATTCTTTTTCCTTTTTGTCAAGGTTTTCTTGAGAATTGGTAATCATTCTTCATTGGAATATAAATAAGCATTACTTAATTTATTGATGACAATAGTTATAACAATTTGGTTTTGAGTATAACGTTTGTATGTAAATCAATCATTCTATTTATTTAAATATTTTTTATTCGGTAAATTGTTCAGCTTCATTGACTAGTCAAAAATCAGTTTCTGATTTTGAAAAAACCCTAGTTTTTTATATCGTTGATTCATAT